AGACGAGCCAGGGTAGACGTCTCTCCTGCTGTATACCGCAGTCACAAACTCTACCGATCGACAAGGCAATGGCTACAGGACTCACTTGGGCTCACATAAAACCGATGAATCAGGTGCCACATTTAAGGCTTCTAGGAAAATGGCCGTTAAAAGGTGCAGTAAAAAGAAAGATAAATAATATTCCTAAAATTTAATTAATCTTGCTCTTTCATTTTTCCTACTTGAGTGCCGCGCTGCTGTGCTCCTGATGGGAACAATCTAGACATTGTTCCATTAGTATATTTCACTTTTATATCAAGCCTCACAATTTACCGGTTTTATTTAGGGTAATGCACTTGTATTTGACATATTTACAACCTTTCCATTTATTATTCAAAACAATGCTATGCTTAGGTATTGAGGATCAATAAGACCATCATAATGTTTATACTGTCATATCTTTTATGGCAAGCTTCAAGTATTTCAGGTTTGTTTTTATGGGTGGTTTTTGAAAAGGCAATTTTATGGCCTTTACACCACCTTAGGTAAATGATTGGTTGGCAAGAATCCCTTGACTACGTTTGCAGGGTCTTAATGGGGCCACACAGAAGCAAGGGGGAAATTGTAACTAGTTAAAGTAATGTTCCCATCATTTTGATGCATGTCCCTAATGTATACAAATTGTTACATTTTTTTCCCCACAAGCACTTTTGTCTGTCTTTTTCCATCCCTTTTTTCTTTCCCTCAGTTTCCTTTGTCTTTTTTTGGGGGGGGGGGAATAAGCTGATTTTGAGGAATGTTTCATGTCTTGAGACTCTTTCATTGTTTGAAATTACTAAATGTTGAAACTGTAACTGCAGAAAAAAAGGCATCACTGATCTCTTTATTGAACTAAATGCAATTGTAGTCACTACAGAAACAAAACCTCCTCATGCAACCTTCCTTTCTGTGGCTTACCTTCTTTTTAAAACTTACTTGGGGTGAAGTACTTCTGTTGTCCATGGATGAACTGTCTCTGTACTTTTCTAATTCTTCATTTAAAATGCCTGATTCTTTTTTAAGGTACTAAATTTTAATTTAGACTTTTCATGAAGTCACTGTATTTGCAGGTTCAAAGGGGGAAACAAATCAAGTAGCAGTAACTTTTGACTTGGTTCTGTCACAGTCAAATAAAATGAAGACAAAACACCAAAGTTAACTTCTAGGTTGGCCTTTCTCCTGCCACTACTAGTGGAAGGATGAAGCCTGTAGTTAAGTCAGGGGCACGGAGTGCTTTTCCTTAATGGGCTTTCCACTTGTTTTACTTACGTAGTTTACATCATTTCTGGTAAACAGACACAGGGGTAAGAAGATAAATTCCTACTTGGCTGCTATTATTCTTGGACACAAGCTGGGTTCTCATAGCTGTCTACACTTCTGTGGTCCCCTTGGAGAATTCCCTGTATAGAGATGTCTTGCTACATCTTCACACTGAGGAAACTGCATTCCATGACCTCCATTACTAGTGATTACAGATGCCTCGTGCTTTTCTCAGCAGATACATTTACTCACTTCCAGAGGCTTCTTAGAAAGTCCCTAAATGAGCTCATGCTGGATCTTGGTGAGTGACCAACACCTATCCATGGGTAACACACACATTCTCCACTCTAACAAATTCATAGAAGAAAGATAGGTCCCAGGACAGACACCTCTGTTTTGACATGACTGGCAGTAGAGCAAACACAATTATTGTCCCTATAGATTCCTCAGGGATTAGTTCATTGTGTGTTCCAATTCTACAAAGACATCACAATCACCATAGGGCTTTGTGGAACATATGTTAAGATCACTGTAGGGCTCAGAAGAATCTGTACAGAGAAATCTTCATAGATTCCATAAGCTCGATTCCTTCCATATTATTTTATTTTGTATATATGCATTGCATGTGACACATACATATTATGCAGTTGCGTGCACATGAGATGGAGGGTGCTCATTCATAGCTACTCACCCCCACACATATATGGAGGACAGATATTGAAATCAAGTGTCTTTCTAGATTGCTCTCCATTTTGTCTTTTGAGACAGAATCTCTCATTCAATGTGAAACACATCAAAATTGACTAGGCTGGCTAATGAATACACTCTAGGGAGTGTACCTTTCTTCATCCTTCCAATCCAATGCTTGAGATTACAGACATGTGCCACAATACACAGTGTTTACACAGGTAATGGGGATCTGAATCTGAATAGTCAGGTCTGAGCAATGGGTACTTTACCCATTGGACAATGTACCAAGTCTCCTTGGTTTCTTCATTCTATTCTTAATCCAGTTACATCTTTGATGAATGTAAATGTCTAAGACTTCTTAGTTGCTTGCTCTTAATCTACATAGATTTCCAACTTCTGTAAATCTCTCACACAACCTATTTTATTTTTGTTCTTCTCATGAGTGGAGGTATAAAGAATAAGAAAACAAAAGAGAAATTGCAGAAGTTAATTCTGCAAGTCACTAAGAATTGAATGCTTTAATCAGCAAAGCAAAGCAACCTCCAAATCAAATTTCTTCAAATTACATTTGGAATCAGTCAGAAAATAAACTGGTTGTCAAACAAATTTCTATGTTTAAAAAGATTTGCTTGTGACTATGTGAGATATTATCATGCTTTTCAGTTCCTATCTTTGAAGAGAAAATATTTTCCAAGTCTTATGTGAATGAACTATTTTCTGAATCCATTGAAGGAAGTCAAATTTTTAAGAGTTTAAACATGTCATGCTTAATGTGCTATCAAATGCTTAGTAAATGTAATTGGCTGAATGTGACCTTCCAAACCCCTTTCCTTTAGAAAGATATTTATGAAACTAATCATTGATATATCTATATATCATATATAATATTGATATATATATATAATTTTATATAGTATATAAACAATCAAGGCTAAGTTAATATGCTTAAGAGGACATTTAAAATGCTGCTTGCAAAAGAATCCCACTGAATATCCACCACCAGAGAAAAATACAGCATAAGTTATGGTGTACACATTTTTTTCATAACCATTCACTAAGGTTCATTATTTCAGTTAATTGTGGACTGATGAGGGTAAGATGAACCACCGTTTGCTCTGGAGTTGACTGTAATCCAGAGTAAGTGTCAATTACGGACATGTACATATAATATAAGAACAGAGCATTTGGGGCTCCCAAACTTTAATACACTTAAGAATCATATAAGATTCAGGTTTGGTGTTCCCATAACACCTTCAGAAAGCTTGATTCTGAAAATCTTGGGTATAGTCCAAGCACCTCAGGCATTGTGAGCAGGAATCCCACAAGGTCTGTGTATGAAGGAAGGCTGTACCAGAGAGAAGTCCACTGAAGCAGCAGTCACATCTCACTTCCCACTATGACCCAAGTCCTCACCCTGAGCTGCCACAGAGCACACATTCACCAATGATTCTGAATAAATACCTGAGTGAATGTGGTTAAGCTGTACAAGTGAAATGTGGTGTGCAAAATCAGAAATATAGTCTGTTTCTCTATTTTATTTTGTAAGCTAGATTACTTCTTTGACACAATGTTTCTCTGTACAGTACAGATTAGACTGGAACTTGATGTGGATAGCCCAGGTTTGCCTCATGCCACAGTGAATTTTCTGTCTCAGCCTCCTGAACATTGGGATTATAGGTACACACTACCACATCTTTCTCAGTTTCCCTTTTGAGGAAACAGGTTGCCTTGGGTAAAGCTAGAAGATGCTACAAGTGACACTGGGTACAGTGTTGTAGAAGGAGATATCTGTGAAAGGGAATGAAGTGGGTTTGACTCCATTCTTGGCTGCACAGGGAGTTCATTTCCCATTAACTTATAGTATCTGGCCTATTCTGCTGAGTTGTGTTATTGTTCCAAGAAAGTCACACAGCTTCATGAAACCCACCCTGACAAGCTGGATTTCCTCTGAGGTACAAGCAGACTAGTTCCTCTGGGAATGCTAAGATAAATTAATTAAAAGTTCTAACAGGGAAAACCATAAAAGAATTGTAACAGTTTACATTGAATGTGTAAGCATATAATTACTATCTAGTCCCAAATCTAGATATATATACATATATATGTATATATATACATTTATAGTAGATATAGTATTTATATATAATATAGCATATGCTACATAAATATGTACTAAATGTACTGTATATATAATATAGTATAGCATATATGTATTATATATACTATCTAGTATATACACTAGATATATATCTTACACATACATAATATACATAATATACATAATATATAGCATACACATATAATAATATATTAGTAATGTAATAATATAGGAAAATAATGATAAAAACTTGTTCTAGTAAATATATATTATATACATATATTTATATTATATACATTTATATAATTTATATTATATACAACATTATATGTATATTACATATATTTATATATACATATTTTATGTATATATATGTATATGTATGTGTATGTCTATGTGTATATGTATAATGTATCTCCTCTCCTAGTTACAAGACATGAAAAGATCAATTACATGCTAAAAATTGCATTTAGAAAAATGTACATTTTGTAGTCAACAAAAGCCTGTTTTCTTTTACTGATTTCAAACCATTCCAGTGGGATATTTGTAACCTTGCCTCTCTAGCAGGTCACGTGATGTGGAGTTTTCAGCTTGTCTTCTCTAAAATGTGAGCATTTTTGTCTTTTTAAAAAATAATATAGATCACATTGATCTTTTTTAACTGAGTCTACAGTGTAGCTCTAGCTGTCCTGAAACTGGCAATGAAGACCATGTTGGCCTTGAACTCACAGAGATAAACCAGCCTCTGCCTCCCAAGTGCTGTGAGTAAAGAAAGGCATATACCAGCACACCCAGCTAAAAGCCACCTTATTCCAGTTCAGTCCTGAGTAAAAACAGCACACATCTAGTTTAAGGGAGCGACTCAAACACCTAGTTTAAAGGTATGCATGATATATTCTTTAGAAAACGGGAATGAAAACACGGAGTCACACACCTGTGTCTGTTTAGGGCCAATATCCATCCTCTTAAGAAGGTCATTTAGAAAGGCGATGACACTTTCCCAGGGGTAGATGCTGTTGGAGCCATCCAGGACGATGACTATGTCCAGCTGTGTGCTACATTCTGCAACAGGAGAAAGCAGTGTGCGAGTTAGGCATCTACCTTCTTCGGAGCGGGTGAAGTATGTTCCTGGCTGCAAGAAACCCATCTTAAAAGATGCACTCACTGCACCCATCATTTCTGTATTAATTTTAGAAAAACTTAAGTGGAAAAATATTGTGTCTGGTTATAGTCAGATTGGAGTTTGCGCCACAGAAAACCCACCTCTCTCTCTCTCTCTCTCTCTCTCTCTCTCAATCTCTCTCTCTCTCTCTCTCTCAATCTCTCTCTCAATCTCTCTCTCTCTCAATCTCTCTCTCTCTCAATCTCTCTCTCTCTCTTTCTGTCCTTCCCTCCCTCCCTCCTCTTTCTCTCTCCTCTTCATCCCTTCCTTCTCCTCTCACACAGAATTTCTCTATGTAGCCCTGACTGTCCTGGAACTCACTCTATGGAACAGGCTGGCTTGAACTCAGTAATCAGCCTGCCTCTGACTCCCAATTGCTGGGATTAAAGGTGTGCACCACCACTGCCTGGCCTTCTACTGTAATTTCACACACACACACACACACACACACACACACACATTTGAGAATTTTCTCATCATGGGTTTGATATAGTGTTTTTATTCTGTACATCTCAAAGGAAGTTATTCTCTTCAAAGAGATTCACTGTTTATATATCAGCATGATAGCATTAGCTGTGAAGTTTAAACATAATCCTCAAGGTTACTTACACTAATATTAATTCCAAAAGTAGGAGCAAAGTTTGGTTATATATTGGCAAAACAAATGTTTGTCTAAGTCGGTAATGCTGGTAGATGGCAGGTCTGGGAAGCCTTTGGGTGTGCTTTTGTGTATGCATGTAGCTCACTCATTGCTTACACTTTCAAACATGCATGAACATTGCATAAATCATGTACCTTGTACAGGGGCGAACGAGTTCACAACTTGAAATGTAGGGCTGACATCAGAACATATACCAGTCGTATAATGTAAATGTCCACATCTATAGGCATACAACGGCCCACATGCCTTTAAGCAATAAAAAAAAATGCAAACATTTAAAACTGAATGTTATACAACCAGCTTCAGGACATAAATGACTCCATTCCCCTTTTTGTGAAATACATTACTCTTTCCTTTCTTACCAGAAATCCTCCATTCGGGTTGGTGACTAAAGTCGATCCAAATGTCATGTTTTCCTTTATTTCTGTGACATTGGGAATCGATGTGTTAACTACAAAAATAGAACAAGATTTCATGAGTGTGAAAATATGTTTCATAATATGAAATTAAGTGTCTCTTCATTAAAACATTCTGTTTCCTTGGTTCATCTCATAGCACATTCTTGTTCTGGTTCAACTAAATAGACTTCCCGGTACTGGGAAGTATAATGAACAAGTTAAGGCTGAAGAGCTGGCTGATGTCCCGGAGACTGTCTGTATCACTGTTTCAAATAGTTTGGCTGGACTTGGAAAGAATGCAGCCCTAGCAGGGCATCGAGAATGTGGGATTGGTTTTCACACGTTTCTGTTAATTAAAACAAATGCAATATTTAGTTTCATAAGAGTATAGCGATAATTGATGTTCTTTGTTATAAACAACCAAAGGCAAAATGTAACTTCTGGAAGGAAAACTGGCTATGCACAGAGCAGGAAAGTCAAACACAAATGTTTTTATCGTGACTTTGAAGTTCATGGGGACGTCAGGAGAGCTGCAGAGGAAGCTGGATCAGGATTAGAGAAGCGTCCAGGAAGTTCAGAAGAAGAGAAGACAGGGAAGGGAGAACATTCGATGATCCAAGTAGGAACGATGGGCCATAGCATTCCGACCTGACCAAACTGGCAAAGAGGACTGCTTAGTAGTTCACGTTCAAAAAGAAAGACTTGACAAGAAAAAGGAAGACTACCAAATTCTGCTTACAGTGGAATGCATAAAAATTTGAAAGGGACACAATTTGAGTTCAAGGAAGACTCTTAACACACTGTTCATATCTGTGCATGTCCTCACCTACGGACTTATAGTCAACGAGGAAACAGGCTCCTGGATGGCCCATCTCACTTCCTGATCTGAGAACCGGGTTCTGAATAAAGGATTTGGTTGGCTTTCCTTTGAAACCATTTTTTATATTGAAAATAATTTCTGTTTTTTTTCAAATGATATGCTCTGTTTGCGGTTTTTCCTTGCCCAGCCCCTCCCAGCTGCTCCCTGCCTCCTCTCCCGTGCAAGTCCACACCTTTTCTTTCTCTCACTAGAACCGTGCAAGTCCACTCCTTTTCTTTTTCTCTCTAGAAAACAAACAGGCGTCTAATAAAGTAAGATAAGACAAGAAGGAAAACATATCAAGCCAAAAAAAGGCACAAGAAACGCACATAGGTTCAGATACACACACGTTCACACACAGAGAAACCCATAAGATTACAAAACCGGAAAGACATTACATATGCACAAAGGGGTTGGAAAAAAAAAGCCCCAACAAAGCAGGAGTCAAAGGATCTTGATCTGGGTTACTGTGTACACTGGTATCAAAAGATCTGGATTTGGGACTTTAAATGAGGGTCGCCCAGAATCCGCACTGCTGTGACAATTAGTGGATATTGACAATGTTTCCTGCTAACCCGAAGAGATCAACTCCATTAGTCAGATAGGACCCCCAGTGGAGGGATGGGGACATCAACCAACCTACAAAATTTTCAACCCAAAATTGGTCCTGTCTACAAGAAATGCAGGGGCAAGAGCAGAGCAATGACTGGCTTACCTTGAGATCCATCCCAAGGGTGCGCACCAATCCCTGACACTATTACTGACGCATGTGTTGTCGACTGGTTCTAACGTTGTTTGTGTTAACTTGGCTTCTAGAATCACACAGGAGCACAAACATCTGCACTGAGGGTCCCTGCCCCAGATGGCTCTGGTTGGGAAATAAACTCGCCAGCGGCCAATGACTGGGCAGAAAGACAGAGATGGGTCTGTTGAGAATCTCCAGTAGAAAATGCAGGAGACTGAAGAGAGGATTCCGCCATGACAAGGGTGTAGAAAACAGACCACGCTGGGAGGTGCAGGAGAGTGAGACAGATGAAATGTAGATGCAAGGGGGAAAGCAGCCCCGTGGGGCCTGCCCAGTAGGGGCCAGGGCAGCAAAGACAAAATATAGATTTAGTAAGTATTAACTCAGAAATATCGGAGGGAAATGTGTTAGCCACATGGAGATTCAGGAGCGGCTCAACCACTGAGCTAGATAAGGCGTATTAAAAATAAGCTTCTCTCTCTCTCTCTCTCTCTCTCTCTCTCTCTC